AACTTGCATATGGACAAACTTGGATGGTCATTAGTCCTAGAGGAATTTCAGTATTTGTTCTCAGGCCGAAGGAAGTCTGTTTTTACATGGATGAACTGTCTGTTGTTGCAAAGCGTTCCATTTTACCAAAGGAGCAAAGCTGCTCACCGTGATCCTCAGAGTTTTCGTCTCTGTTGTGTATACTAAGTCTGGCCATGGAGAGAAGTCTCAGCCAAGTTTTGAAGTTAAGTGCCTGATCTGAAATGTTATGGGAATCAAATGTAGGTTATAAGAGAGGTTTACAGGGCTGGCAATTGCCTGTGTTGCTGAGGGAAGTGTACTGCAGCAGTCTGTGCTAGCTAGAATTTCCTTTATGCTGCAGGTTTCATGCCTAGTGATTTTTATGAGGCTGAAGGAGAGGAAGGAGGTGATAAAACTGTGAAAAACTGAGGCCGGGTCATTACTGCCTGACTACGACAGTGTCCTGTAGTCAGTCGGATGTGACAGAACGTACTTGCTGCTGCTGGTACCAGGAAGTTTGAGAGAAATGGGACTGAATGGCAGCAATGAGCATGTGCCTCAGTGAAAGGAGGCTGTCTGTAAACTCTTATGATGCTTTTCTTTGCCCGACATCATTGCTTCTTTTTCTCAGGTTCTGCTTAGGCAGCTGTTCTGCGTTTATGATCTGATCTTGCCTTCACGCTGAACCATCTTCATGGTAACAGTGCAGTTATCTGAGATGAAGGACAGGTAGGAACTCAAGTTTGCTTTGAGTAAGCACTATAAACAGGGCAAAAGTACTGTAGTTATTGTTCCTTTAAACTACTGTGAAATAACCTTGTAGGACCATCTCCAGTTTGGACCTATGCAAAATAGCTCCTATTGCCCTGAAAGAGGGAGATTTCCTTAAGCCAGATGCATCTCCAGACTGACAAGTGTGGAGAGATTTCCAGGCAACGTCAGCTCGCTGAAGGTTTGGTTTGATGCGCAGCTAAACCAAACTTGAAGTAAGCTGCCAACCAAAAAGGAAGTTCTGCATTCCTGGTTCTGTATCTCCAGATCATTTTGAAGCTACAGGGTAAGTTTATTGTAGAATGTAGTTAGAATTGGTTCCAGGCAAAATCAACTCAGTACAACGCCCAGTGACTTGTGTCCAGCCAGTTTACCTTGGCAACAGTGATATACAGGAGCCTCTGCAAATGTAGCTGAGTTCCTGAATACAAGCAGATCTGCTCATCAGCTAATTAACATCAAGCAGAAGGCCTGGAGAAAATAGTCTGAATTTCCTAGCTGCCCATCTGATCAGTTCAGATTGGTTTCTCTTTAAAGTAGTTAATGTCTTCCACAGGCCTGTGAACTTAAGAGCCAGCGATTCATATTTTATCCTAGAGTGTATTCTTATGGACTAACGTCACAGTCTTTGAAAACAAACGTTTGTTGTGGAGATGCTGGAGCCACCTGAACTCCTGCATTATCAGTGCAGTGTGACTGCTCTGGAACCCTGTCCAGACTGGAGCTGCAGTGGTTGTCTGTGTCTGCTCAACAGGGCAGTCCCAGCAACCCAACTGGCAGCTTTGTTGAACTTGGAGAATTAGCTCCAGGCTGCTTGCAGTTTCCACCTTCCCAGTGGAATGGGCTCCAGTTACAACAATAGCATTGTATCTACTCCTGATGATAGCTGGATGTGAGGTCTTAGTGCGCTTTGTTCTCATTATCCAAAGTGTGAGCTGAAGAGAAAAGCCCCCCCCGCCTCCCCTCCAAATATTCTTGTCAGTGAGTTACAACAGCCCAGGAAGGCTTATTTTGCCTACAGAGTGTGTACACCATGGACATGGTGAAGGATGTTTTCACAGCCCATTTCATTTGCTAGCAAGCCAGAAACAACAGAAAAAGAACGTTATGTAGTTACTGGCCTTGGCTATAATTTGCCGCACACCATACTTTACCTTGTGTTCACCACCCTTCTAGGCATTGAAGAGAAGTCCCCATATCTCTAGGGGTAAAGTGGCTTCCTCCGACATGTGTGAACACTTCACTTGGAAGCCTGATTTTTGCATAATCATTGTAGTTCTGATGGGCCTTTCCCAGGCTTTGCAGGATGGGGCTAATATGCCAAATACAGGTACAGCATATACATATAGAGGGAGTGATAGGATGTGGTGGCTTTTTTTTTTTTTTTTTTTGCAGTGTTGTGTTGTGGCCTCAAATTATGCCCCATGAACGTGTAGCAGGGTTGGCGGCTTGTTTGTAGTTTTCTATAGTGCGTTCCTACCTCTGCATCAGCTTTCATGGTTTATGCTCCCAGTATAGCTCTTTAAAAACAACAATACCCTAATAAAAGGGGAGCACAAGACAGAAGCCGGAGTCTTGTCAGTGTTCAATTAAAAAAAAAAAAAAGACGACTACTCCATGATAATATGCTACTTGCTCTGCGTGTGGTAAGTCCTAATAGTTCCTTAACTACTTAGTTCACCTGTCCTGGGGAAGACTTCTCACTCCCTCCTGAGTCTCTACACAGTAGTCTTCGCTTGCTAACAGTTGCATGCCCATAGGAGCTGATTTGCAAGCCAAATAGGCTGCTTCTGATTTCAGCTGTCCCTGTTTTATTGTAGCTCCTTGCTCTTCCTGTATCACAAAATACTTTTGTGATGGGGAGACAGAGGCACAAGAGAGCAAAAGCTGTATTCCCAGGCATATAGCAGCCAAGTTACACAGCTGAGCTTGTTGCCTCTGCCCTGCTTGGAATCTCTCCTTTCAGTAGTTAGGCAGAGGTAAGGTGTATAGTAATGTCTGGTATGAAGAGCCTGTTAGGGGACATTAGTTTGATATGTGATATTTTATATCAAAACCAGTTTGATGTGGGAATTAGCATTGCGGTTATGGACACTTGGTATAGCATCTGATCTCTTGCTTCATGCCTAACAGATGCTTAAATGTATTGGCTTTTGTCTTACTGACCCAATACCCAGGCTCATCAGGCCACTTTTCCAATTCTATACAGTCACTGCATGTTACAGCCTAAATTCGTCTATTCCGGCACTAGGTGCCCTCAGGATGCCAAAAGGACTTTGTCTTTTTCCATATAATCTAAGGGCACTAATCGGACCAAGGAAAGTATTCCAAATCATGTTCCAGGTGATAGAAAGTAACTAAGGGGTGTCCAAGGGGAAGCTTTGAGGAAGAGGCAGCCAGAGCTCTCCATCCTAACGTGCTATCTCTTCCAGCCAGAGTTTCTCAAGAGCTGGCTTTGGGGTCCACTGGAATGACTGACTTTCACCTACTAAGAAAGTTCGGAGAGAGCAGTGGAAGGAAAAATTGTCTTACGGGGCTGTTTTGGGATCGTTCTGGGAGCTGAAGCACCTCATCTTCCTTGGTCATAATCCAGACCTTTAACATAGTTGTCTCTGAGCACTGCAATACAGCTCTCGCCACAGCCTGTTCCTTCCATTCAGTGAGAGTTTCTCCCTGTTCTGCTGTGCCCAACTTGCAAATGTAGCTCATCAACCTCTGCTTCTTTGCAAATGAGCTGCTTAGGTAATGGAGGGAGGAGGAGGCAATTCAGCACCCTGCCCCTCCTATAAAGATATAAAGGTTCCTTGCTTCTTAGGCTTTCTGGAGACGTTTCCACGTGAAGAGTGGGTATGAAACTTTGCTTTTTTCCTAAATGCTCTGCCTCATGCAAACAAAAGGTCATTTCCCAGTGGGGAAAACAAGCTGTTGACATGGTGGGCATTCAGCTTGCCAGTTGAATAAGAACAAGGGCTGATTAGTTTGGGCACAGCAGTGCGGTAACACAGGTTATGGGAATGCCCCCAGACTGGCTCCCATCTCGATAGCTCAGGTCTCCCCGCGCTGTGCTCCGCTGTCCCTGCAGTTCAGCGGGAGCACAGGTCCATCTCCCTGCTTGTGCAGGCGTGCTGCCGGTGAACCATAATTTGCACCCAGAGCTGCTTGCCTGTATTTTGATTGCTGGCAAACCCTCCCAAAGCAAACAGTGATTTTTGCCTGTCTACACTGACTCAGCTATGCTGATGGCAGGAATCAGAGCTAAACTCCCTGGTTCAGTGAAGGGTAATAGGTACTGAGTAGCCTCCCACAGGATGTAGAGAAGCATTTTAAAGAAACTTGTCCGTGTCTCCGGAAATGCACTGAAGGGAACAATGCTGCATTAGGCCAGAGAACCTAACCAGGAGCTATTAATTTCTTTACATCTGTAGCCCTATAATATGCAAGCGCTGGAGGTTTTCGTCTCCTGTATGCAATTACTAGCTAGCAAATGGGAATTCAAAGGAATCTGGGCTATCTTTAGGAAACAAGCCCATCACTCCTTTCCTCCTCTCAGGAAGCAGGGTCCTTCATTACAGCCTGTCATGGCGAGGGGCTCACAGATTAGAAGGAGGGGCAGGAAACATGCCAGGCTTCACTTCTTTAGCAAGTCTAAATGTTTTCCGTAATCCTAGCACTGTGAGTCAGCAGTTCTGGAGCCTAGACTTGTTTACAGCAGCAATCAGTGAGATGGTGCTGGGTAGGTGGGGTGTGGAGGTACACGTGAAGCGAAAAAACGAGCGACCTTTTTCCTCAGAGGCAAACGAGGAAGTTACCAACTGTCTTTCCAAAATGGGTCTGGCAGGGAGTGAAGGACTGGATATCCTGAATGGTAACTTCAGTGGAGTCATACGTGGGGTAAGGAATTTTCTAGTGTGAGTAAGGGAATTGGAACTTGACAAAGAAGGTTTGTTTTTATATATTATGTTGTCTCAGTGCACTTAACATAAAAAAGGACTCTGCAAATATTTGGGATTATCAGTGTAGCAGGATAAAGATAACACTCTCCCCCTGAAGTGGTTATGGACTCATTTTTGCATTGGCCGGGCCAGGCTGGCTACGTGGAAGGAGGAGCTCCTAAAACTGTACAGGTAACAGACCAAATGCTGAGGTTTCTACTCAGGGCCCAGAGCTACTCTGGGATAAGGACCGTGAGCCTGGGGGTATCTTGTAGCATTGCAGGCTGATGTCTGCGCATGCAAAGCTTTCTGCCCGTGCCTGGCTGGTTAGCCTGGCTGGATCTTGTGGCAAAGCCAGTGACATTGAAAACGGTATGGATTACTTTAGATCTGCAACCTCAGTTCTGCAAAGGTATTTATTTTGAAAATTCTAGTTTCCATAGCAATGTAGTGCTGTTCTCTCTCTCATCTCTCTCCTGTTACTCCAATCTTAGCAGCCATTAGATGAATTGTCAGTGAAGCAAACCTTAGCATTTTTTATCCTAAGATTGATTTTTATGTATATTGGTTCCTCAGTGATTCAGAGCCAGTTAGTCAAGGATTGACTCATATCCTTTCCTGGGGCAGAGGTAAGGTCTACTGCAGTCTAAAGACGATAATTAAGAATGAATATTATTAATTAGACTTTGCCTATGAAGTCCTAGGCTACTTGCCAGTAGAGTGGGGTCTTACACCTAGGATTCTGGTTCAATTCCAGATGTATAATTTATGCTATGTCTTTAAATTTCGCTTGTACTGTAGTTTCATTAGGACATAAAATTCTTCTTCCATGCATGTAGTCAACTCTTTTGTAGGGTTGCTGTGTACTGCTATTCAGATGCTATTCTCCGCCCCAGAGGTGACTTCTGGACACAGTCTCCCTTGGCTTTGTTAACAGGGCCAGTACTCGTGGCTTGTTCGTTCTCCTCTTTGGATGCATTAAAGAAAGAGGCAGTTTCTTAAGAAAACAAAACAAGCTATTCGTGTTTTGTCTTTCCTGGTTCATCTTGTCTTCCTGGTCAAGGAACTACTAGTTTTACCAGCATAGTTACGTGGGTTAAAATGTAAAAATCCCAGCCTTAACCCAGCAGCAATAATGGCACGCACGTAGAGATGATTTATTTTGCTGGTATAGTGTGTCTTTTAGGGAGATGGTCTAGCAAGTTCTTTGCCAATTTAAACTGCATTTCCAGCTGGGGAGCTGTGCCAGAATAACTGTTCCACAAACCCTTTGCTATGTACGATAGCCTTTGTCCTCTAGTCCAGTCCTCATGAATAGGTAAGCGGTGAAATAAAGGAAACTGCATGGGAGAGCAAGTGTGGCACTGTGGACCCAATTCCAAGATAAGGAAGTAGGGTAAAAGATGTGGTGAGAGCCAGCCTTTAGCAGTGCCTTCGGCAGTGTTGTTACTTAGTTGATATGTACTAAAATACCTGAATTTCAGAACTGAATTGGAGCGTGGATCCATGAAGTTGATGATGTAAGAAGCCCTCAGTGGAAGATGTTACAGATATTTGCTGTACGGCAACCACTGTTTGGCTTGCCTTTCAGTACTGGTCTCTGCTGTCTCCTGTTTTCCTCCCTGTCTAGCTAGATCCATCAGTTGTCTTATTTATACTCAGTTTATGAGTTATTCAGAGTGGATTGTTTTATTATGAGCGTATACTGTTTTCCCCCTCCCCCTTCTATTTGAGCTCTTCGGATGCTGGGTATCTAGCAGAAATCTCTAAAATCCAAAGAGCTAGAAGCTGATTTGTGCTAGATAACCCTTCTAAAACCTCTATTCTAGATGTTCACATTTGCTTTCAGCTGAATTATGCCCATCCTTTAGGAATACTAATAATGGCATGCTCTTCAGAATGTTGCGCGTCAATGAATTTTATATATACTTTATGCAAAGCATTAAAAGGTGGTTGCTTATCTGTTTTTAATTTACCATTTTTCTTTTTGCCTTCATGTTCCTGTGATGTTTTGAGATAACAGTTTGAGAATTTTTGTTCACCTTATCTCTAGGCCATGCATTTTGTAATACCTTCTCTGGACTTTTTGATTTGCTCCCTCTGAGGTGAATGGTCCCAGTCTTTTTAATTCCGCTTCAAACAAGAGCTTTTCTCAATCCCTGATGTTTTAGTCAACTATCATTGCCATGTATCACGTAATGAAATAGCAATTATAATACTAACTCAAAGAATAACCCTTACAGATTCAGTGTTCTGCCAGTACTAGGCATTTTTATGTTCCAAACTCTGAGTCCAGACACATGTATTTAAGCCTCCATGTGCTAGATACATACATACTCGATATATATTAAAAAAAAAAAAAAAAAGTCCCTATTTCAGAATAGTAGGTGCTTGGTATCCAAATGCAATTAGAAAGAAATGGAAGTGACTAGTGACCTTGTGACTGTTCTGTCGTATAACATGATAAAAAGTGCTTGGGATTTGTGGATTGAGCTTTTTCTCATTTGTCTTCCAGAGGTCAAAGTCCACTGCAAGCAGTGACTGACACAGTCCCACGCATAAGTCAGTCCAGACTGCGTGTGCACTTGGGTCCTAGCAGAGCAGCCGGCAAAAGGGCAGTTATTGGAAGAGCACCTTGGAAAGTGTTTGTGCTGATTTCTCTGTGGTCCCTGTGGTGATCCTAGGAAAGTAAGGGGGGGATCTGGGACTATCTGAAATCCCAGAGCCAGGATTCTTTGAAATTCCAGACAAGTAATGATGTGAGACTTGGCAGAGGCTGACCTGCTAGCCTGCCTCCTCTGCTGTTTCATATGTATGTCCAAGAAGCTGCCTCCAGTTCACATGATTGCACTCTAGTAAACAATTTTTCATGTCGATTTAGGCAGCAGATGTTACTCGTGCTTGTATGAACACTTCAATGTGTTTAAAACAGGAGAGATTCCTCGGATCTAGTCCTATTAAACAATGACTGTAGCCATCAGAAAGAAGTCCCACTGGTTAGAGCCATCCTGTTATAGCTTCTGCAGAACACTTTGAAGGGTAGTCACACCATCCTTCTTTGGGCACTCGAGGGGATTGACTCAAAAATATGAGCAAAATAAAATAACATGGCTGAAGTGGCTGCAACCCTCAGCGGTGTCACCAGCTGTGTCACCACTGCCCAGTTCCCAGAAGGGGTTCATCCCTGTAGCATGGTTGGCTGTACAATGCAACTCCTGAGTTGCTGAGTTGCTCCTCGGTTGCTGAGTTGCTCCTCTCAGTGAGGAGAAAAAGAACAACTCTCTCAATTCAGGAAGCTTAACTAAGGGGGAAAGGTGTGCTCTCTTTAAAGCTGAAGAATGGTCTTTTAGTTTGATTTCTCAAACTGGCTCACCCGGGGTCAGAGAAGCAACAGTGCTGATGCAAGGGCAGGGCAGAGGCAAGCAGGCAGAACGGGGAGATGACCTTCCCTTTTGGGAGTAGCTAGCCGTTACGTCAGTTTTGCTGTCTCACAAAACTATGCCCTGTGGTTATTTTTGGTGCTGAGCTGCCTTACTTTTCTTGGGAGTGAATGAAGGATTAACATAGTGTATTTATGGCTTTTGAAAATTAAGTTTATTGCCGGGGGGGGGTGGGGAACCTAATTCAGCATGTGCTATTAGGTGGAATTGCTTAAGCTGTTAGTGATAGGACAGGTGTGTCCACAATATCCATTTCTGCAATTCATTTAGGGATTAAATTATTTTGTTGCCTTCTCTTAAGATCTCTAAGCTAAAGTCTACTACTACTATACACAGCAAAGTACAGAAATGGAGTTCAAGGAGAGGCTCCACCTTACCTGAACCTAATTCCAAATGACAGTATACTGAACTCAGTGAGGATATTTGTACCCCTATTCAAGCAGAAGACTGCAAGGAGTGCTGTCACCCCTGTGATCTGTCCTGACCAAACTGTTTCTTCCTCTGAAATGTCAGTCTTTCACATTTCTAACATTTTAATATCAAGTAGGTTGGTAAATTCTGGCTTCATTGTACTGAAATATATTAGACTTCAGGGGCCAGCTGCTGCAAGGTTTTTATCAGTATGATTATGAACATACCTGAAATTAAGCATCTAATTGAGTGCTTTGCTATGCTGGGCTTTCTGGAATGCAGAGCATTCGGCAAGTCCGAATACTTGCCATAAATGAAAGCATTTTGGCAAAAAGAAGAAAACTAATGCCACACATACCTTGTATAAGAGCTCTTACCAATATCTATAACTGTGGTAATTTTCATGTTTCCATATTTTGAGCCTTAAGCAGGAGACGGACACAAGAAATCTTACGAAGCCAGCATTTTTCATTTTACAGATAGATTAATTTTATAGTTTCAAAGTTTTAACGTAACCTCAAACATTTATTGGAGAATAAATTTAGGGTCGTAAAGAGGATTGCCTTCGGAAAGAAATTATTTGTTCTTAGAAAATCCCTGGAATGGCTTCCAAATTTAACTACGTTTTAACATGAATTCAAAACCCATCTCAAGTCAGGGTCAGACTCTCCAGAGAACTTTCTCATGATTCCTGTAGCAGTTGATTCACTCCTTACTGCTTTCATTTTGCAGCTTTTAATGGCAAGTTCTCCGAAAAGTCATATACTTCAAAGATTTACAAGATTCTGAGTTACTAAGCTAGAAATTATGCTGGTTCTGCCCAACTTCTGTGCCAGGATGTGGGAATACTTGGCAGTGGATTTGGAATTCCAAGAAAAATAACCTCTTTCCTTTGCATGAGGCACTGCTGACTTGCCAAACTCAAAGAGCAGCGAGGAAGAAAACCGCTGCAGATGAGGAGGCATTAAGTCTCCGGTTTCCCTTTTAAGCAGCTGTGGAGATCATAGCCCTAACAACTGCTGAACATTAATATCTTGTCTGTTTGGTGCAACATTGTGCTAATGATGGGAGAGGGCTGGATGTAACTCTTAACAAAGACAACTTGAAAGGAGAGCATGACATTTCCAAACGATGAACAAACTGCTACTGCCCTTAATAGGAAGCGTAGCCTGTAAAGACTACAGATCCCAGCATGTTTCAGAGACACCTCGAACCCAGCTGCAGCACTGCATGCTGGAACTTGTGGTGCCCTAGGCTGCATCTCCGCAGCGCCAGGGCTGTGACCCACCTCGTAGACCCGTGTGCAGTCAGCCGCCTCGCTAGCTTGGCGTGCCTGTGCTTCATTTGATGGACCACAAGCCTCAGTATTACCTTGGATTTTTTAAATCTGTTTTTGCACACTTTATACATCTAATGTAGTACTGGCACCACCACGTTTCTAAGAAACAAAATAGTTACTTTGTCTTTCACGTAAAGAAAACCACTACTCTCTGTGTTTACATTTCTAATATGCTTGTGCATAGAGATGATTTGTTCGTAATTAAGGCTGCTTTCTTCAGTC